TCCCCAGCATGAGTCTACTAGATTGATACTCCCCAATAGAGGTCATCAGGAATTCTCTTCCCCAGCAGCAGCCAAGGATTTATTTTCCCCGGCAGCAGTCAAGATGCTTTTATCTTCAGCCACCTCGGATTCATTTATCCTCAGCAAGATAGCTTGTCAGCTTACATGCGCATTCATCACATTCATGTCATAAACATTGATGTCACGTATATTGTATCATGCATCATGACATTGCATACAACTAACTCTTTACCTTTTCAGGAAAGATCAGTCGACAGACTAAAATTATTCAACTTCAAGATTTCTGAAAACAGTTCGCGGGTTCTCCAAGTAAATGGATGTTAACCTGTCACTTGTTCAGATTCTTCTTCAAGACTTCTGAAAACAGTTTATGGATTCTTCCCAACAACGGATGTTAATCTATCGACTTGTTCAGATGCAACTTTTGAAAACAGTTTACGGACGCTTCCCAACAACAGATGCTGCTCTATTGCTTATTCAACTTCAAGATTTCTGAAAACAGTTCACGGGTTCTCCAAGTAAACGGATGTTAACCTGTCACTTGTTCAGATTCTTCTTCAAGACTTCTGAAAACAGTTTATGGATTCTTCCCAACAACGGATGTTAACCTATCGACTTGTTCAGATGCAACTTTTGAAAACAGTTTACGGACGCTTCCCAACAACGGATGCTGCTCTATTGCTTATTCAACTTCAAGATTTCTGAAAACAGTTCGCGGGTTCTCCAAGTAAACGGATGTTAACCTATCGCTTGTTCAGCTTCTTCTCCAAACCACTGAAAACAGTTTACAAATTCCTCCCAACAACGGATGTCAATCTATTGCTTGTTCAGACCCCCCAGTTCAGAGATGGTCCCAAGCTTGGACACCTTCCTGATATTCCCTTCCAGATGGCATCTCTAAGCCCATCCCCGACAAGATTTCTGTCACTCTCCCAAATGGCATCGTTAAGCCCATCTCCAAATGGCATCTCTAAGCCCATTCCCGCATCCATTGCTTTGACAAGTGCAAATTTCCGGGCACTCTAGTGTCCAATCTCCTTTTACCCTCGAGTCACGAAAGGCAAACTTGCCAATCTAACTCTTCGGATTCAAGAAGATTGAACAGGGGCAACTGTTGTACCCCAAAATTTGCCCTCCCATTTCTCATTGATTTCTCACCACAAAGCCCTTTGAAGCTCAAGATCCAGTTAGGGTTTCATCTGCTCAAGACCTCTCCTTGCACTGTTGACTCAAATTAGGGTTTGTGTTTGCACAAAGATGCTTTGACCTAAAATGCCCAAGATGACTTTCATGCTTCATATTGGACTCCCAAGTTTACCCATATCAAGTTTCAAGTCTTGATTCCAAGTTTTGCCCAGTCAATTGGACAGTTGACCTAGAAATCAACTGTATTGGGGAAAAAGTCAACTGTGGCCAATTGACAGTCAAACCTCATGAAATTTGAACCACATCAACATTATGAACTCATATGAACCATTTGATCAAGTTGGGATCACAATTCCCCAAGAAATTTGATTAGATCACCAAAAGGGCAAAATGGTCATTTTTAGGGTTTTGACTGCACAAAGGCAATTTTTGACTGTTTGACCTAGCCAATGGCAAACCAAACTCATACATGGACTCAAGGACCCCATGGAATTATCTTGACATGCTCAACAAGCTCAAAAGATCCCAAGTACACAAGATTGACAGTTGAATTTCCCAGTCAATTGATCAATTTTGACTGTATACTGAAAAGTCAAACTTTGACTTTTTGGTCAAAATCAAGAGTCAAGATTCATTTTTCATCAAAACATGCCAAATCATGAAACTTGTTCACCAAGAAATCACAAAATGCAAATTAGGGTTAAAAATTAGAATTTTTCATAACTTAGAATTTTTCTAAGTTATGAAAAACCCTAATTTTTTCCCAACTTTGCCCCACTTTTTCACCAAGATCCATTTGGATTCAAACAAAAGTCCAAAAATGAAAGTTGTAGCTTGTTGCATAATATACAACTTTGATTCACAAAGTTTTCTCATTTGAAGCTTGCATCTCAAGTTACAAATTTTTGAATAAGGGCACTAAGCCATTCTTAACTTAGTGAAATTTGACCTATTTTGACAAGGTTTTCTACCTAACTTCAAGACCATTTTCCATACACTTCCACTTGGAATTTCAAATTTCATTTCAAAGATGGATTGTAGTAAACATTCCAAGCTTTCCAAAATGTCCAAGAACTTCTCAAACAACCTCATGGTTAGGGAGAATCGAATTTCACAATATGGCAAAAACTCACTTTTGTTCATGACCAAGTTACATGTCCATAACCTTGCAATTTGAACTCAGCATGCTTTAGGCTAGATTACAGGTCCTTAAACCAAGTTACACTCAATAATTTAATGCATATTCTTTGTGCCAAGACCATGTTCTTTGAGCTAAAGCATTGTATGAAGGTTTAATCCATTTTTAGATAAAGTAAACTATCCATTTTTGCAAAAGTTCACTTTATGTCCAATTACAAATCCAACAAGTACATTGCAAATCTGATTGGCACAAGATTATGGGCATAACATACTGATCAAGAGAAGCTTTGCAGCAGGATTAAGGGTCCTCTACTGGCCTAGAAACACAGGTTGCCTTTGTTTGCTTAAGAGTGAAGAAACATTGCATAACTAACACCAACTTCCATATCAGCTCAAGAGCACTTAGACAAAGTTATCAAACACATTCCACACAACACAACCAAGCTAATACACGAGCCCTTAGCCTTCAAAACACCCTCCATCTCAGAATCACTCTCAAACTGCAAAAACAGGGCAGGCCCTGCAGTTTGAGTGCTATCTCTCATTTCTCTCGAGCTCTCTTGCCCAAACCAGTTCACACACCTTCCATACCATCTATGCAAGCTAACCAAAAGCAAAAGCACGACCTGTAATCACTCTAATCACTTCCACCATTTTCACATTTCTGACTTGCAGGTGAAGTTCTATAGCTCGATTCAGAAGCTTTCAAGACAAAGTAAACATTGGAATAGCATCCCTGGACCTCAAGGAAGCTTTTCCAATCATCACCTTGCACTGAAAGTTCCTACATTGCAGGATAGAACTTCAGCTGAACAGGTATTTTGGTGAACTCGTATCTCTCTTATTAGGCATCATTAGCTTTAAGTTTGTGAATAAACAATGTCCTACTCATACCACTGAACATGTACATTCTTTTACTTTTCATTTCTTTTGCCTGAGTTAAGAGAATTTAAGGTTTGAAAATGGCAGAAAACTTAGGTTAGGATTTGGGATTGTTAAAATTCTCTCTCATTTTTGAGAGTTAGGAGATGTTCTTTATATATTTGGAATCGTGGTTTCATGCTTAACATCTTTTGTGTTGGAAGTTTGTTCAAAAATCAAAGAATCAGGATATTCAAATGAAGCTTGCAGGCGCGCGTTTTTTTTTGTTCAGAGGTTGAAGAAGAAGTGATTTGGGCTGGGCTTGTGTTGCATTTTCTGTTCACACCACATAATTGCTTTTACACCCCCAAGGCCCCTTTGCTTATTTCTTTAACTTTTTGACTTTTTTCTTTTTTGATTGACTTTGTTTATTTTTTTTCCATGACATAAAAAATATAAAAATATTTTTTCTCACCATTTTTAATTTATTAGGTATTTATATGATTTTCTTTTGATTAATACTTAGATAAATAAATATATACATTTCATTAAAATATTGAGAAATAGGTAAAAATACTTTTATTTTCACTTTTATTTTATTATACCCTCTGAAAATATTTTACATAAAAAAATATACCTTTTTTTGCAAACATTAAAAATTATTATTATTTATATATATAACACATATTTAAAATAATACATATATACATATATTTATTAATATATTTAGGATAAATACAAAATATATACCCTTTTATTTTTATAATTAATATTTAACATAAAAATGCATTTTTGACAAAATACTTCACTTTATTTTATTTTGTACATAATAAATAATACTTGCACATATTAAATAATACTTCACTTTATTTTATTTTGTACATAATAAATAATACTTGCACATATTAAATAATTAATGCATTTCATTTAATAAAAATTAGGGTTTTGCCCTAAATTCAAAAATACTCCAAAAATAATATCTTTTTATTTTCTTTTTATTTTATATAAATAATACTTTTTTTTCATACATATACAAAACATTTTTTGCATCTTGCATACTTTGTTCCATTTTTATTTAATTATTGTACCTTAATTAAATTGTATAAATTCAAAATTGATGTAATAGTTTTAGGTTTAAATTCCTTGTCAAAATCCCCATTTGAAACATTGTACCCCCTCCCTATATTATTGTGTTGTAATAGCGTAGGAGTTTAAATTTCGCATTTTATCGCTTTCTAAATATATAATGCTAGAATTAGGATTTATATGCGAATAAAACAAACAAAATAGTTATGACCTAATCTCAAAGACAAACAAGCATGAAAATGGACACACAAATCACACTTGCACCCCCTAGGGTATTCCACTTGTTGCCTTTTAAAATTGGGCCATATTGTATGTTGAATTTCTTTGAAATTAGCACACATACTTAAATAACATAAACTTAAATAACACAATTGAGAAATTGAAATTATCAGTAACAAACAAAAATAGATGTATCCAAAAGCCCTCAGATCTCATAGCTTATAGAATCATCTACGGTTGTCATCACTAGTTTCATTCACAACCTCTTTGTGTTCCAACACACGCACACAAACACACACAAGAACACACAGAGGGAGAGACTAAAAGAGAGATGAGAGAGTAAGATAGAGAGAGAGGGAAATGAAAAAAGGTTGTGAATAAAACCGTGTAACCGTTCAATAGTATATTGATACATCACTGGGCATAATAACAAAACCTAACTAACAATCAAGAAATTCAAATACATTTTTCCAGTTACGATTTCACAAAACAAATTCAAAATCGGAAAAGCGAAACTTACAATTACACTATTTATAGTAACGATCATCTTTCTTCTTGACACGATCATCGAGCGCTTCTTCAAACGATTTAGCCTTACTTTTCGGTTCATACCCAAATTTCTTAGCTTCCACCGGAAAAAGCTGATCGTACTTCATTTTCTTCGCCGCGTCAATTGTGTACTCCGACGGCTCAGATCCTTCAACGGTTACCTCTATTTCTTCGTCTACTAGGGTTTCTTCTTCGGTGTTAGGGTTAGGGTTTTCAATTTTGTTCTTCTTTTTCTTTCGCTTTTGTCTATGGATTTTTGTCTAGTTGCTAGGGTTCCTCCTTTGAAGGCTAATCTACCACCTTTTGCACGTCCGTATGGATCTGACATTGGAATTGGGGTGAATTGAATGGCGCTAGGGTTTTGATTTGGATGAAGGTGAAGAGGTTGTGAAGAGGGTTCCTCCTTTGAAGGCTAATCTACCACCTTTTTCGGATTACATCAAAAAGCGCTTTCGTAGCATATCCTATAGCAGCGCTTTTAAAAGCCCTTTCTAAAGGCCAGCTTTAGCAGCGCTTTGGAAAAGCGCTTTCTAAGGCTGACCTTTAGCAGCGCTTTTGAAAAGCGCTTTCTTAAGGTACCCTCTGAAAGGCCAGCTTTAGCAGCGCTTCCCAAAAAGCGCTTTCTAAGGGTGACCTTTAGAAGCGCTTTTGAAAAGCGCTTTCTTAAGGCACCCTTTGAAAGCGCTTTTTTAAGCGAGTTTTTTTTAAAACCTACAGCAACGCTTTTTTCCAAAAGCGCTTTCTTTTATGTGCTGCTAAAACTTATTTTTAGCGTAGTGGGCATAAAGAAATGCCATCTTTCCACTTCCTCATCAATGCGAAGTTACTTGATCATTCTAAGATTAAATGTGATGAGGCCCAAGAGATGATGGTGATTTATTTGGGAGCTGGCCCAATGGAAGCCCTGGCGCGGTGTGAGAACACCACTAAATTTTCATAATTGCGGAAGCTATATGCAAAAAACTTGGAGTTGGATGAGGAAGCTGTTGTACCCCAAATATTTCCCTCCCATATTTCTCAAGACATTACAAGAATAATCTCCAAAGTGGCTCAAGATTGCTCAAGAATTGGACAGTCAAGTCATCTCCTAAGGCAGTCAACCTCAAATTAGGGTTTTGTGTTGCATCAAGGTCCTTACATCCAAAAGACCCAAAGTGCTCCCAAATATCATAATATTTTCTCAAGTTCATCCATGTCAAATTTCAAGCCTTGCAGAGGAAGTTTGGTCAGTCAATTGCTCAAGAGGTCCAAAAATCGACTGTGCTAGAGCAAAAGTCAACTGTGACCTATAAACAATCAAAATTCAAGATTTTTTGTCAACATTCTCATTTTGAAGGATATTTCATCATTTGATCAAGGGTTGACCATGATTCATCAAGGATTGCTCAAAATTCATCAAGATTCAAAAGTTGCTAAATTAGGGTTTTGTAGGAAAAGTCAACTCAACTTTGACCAAGCATAACTTTCTCATACTTTATGAGAAATGACCCATCCAAAGCTCATTTTTAAGAGGATTCAATTTCCTACAATCCATCTTCACACCCAAATATCAAGAAATGCACTCACAAGAAGTTGTAAATTTGGACATTATAGGTCATTTTTGAAAGTCAACAAAAACACCTTTTTTTACAAAGCTTATAACTTGAGCATGGAATATCAAAATGAGATGAGATAAACAAGGTTGGTTAGAGGACATTTCAAGGTTTCTAAAAAGTCCAAGAACACCTCAAAAAGTTCAAAATTGAAGAAGTTATGCATTGTTGAAGTTGGGAATTTTTCCAAAATTGCCAAAAGTCAACTATCCCCAAAACTTCAAATTTTGTCAAATGGGCCCACTTTTTTCCACTTGATTTGATCTTGTCACACTACACACGTGTCCTATCTTCATTATTATGTCCATTCATTGATTTTTATATTTTATTTGATTTTTATTGAATTAATTCATTTTAAATCAATTTAAATCCAAATAAAATCTAAATATTGATAACTTGGTATCTTTTTGATTGATACATGCCTTAATTGTCATCATGGACAAGATCAAACTCGTATCAAGCCATATCATGCACAAAATATTGGATTTGGAATCAAATTGGAAGCTTTTTAATGGAGGATCATATCATATCTCCAAGCATGGATACACCAAGATTCATTTCACAAAATTTGACCTAATGCATTGCCTTATACATATACAAGCTAAAGAGGCACGGATAAAAACCTAGAGGCTGCATAAACACCAAAGCAAAACTTGAAAAAAACTTGAAAAATCTTGAATCTGAAAATGTGCTTAGAGGCAGTTCCAGCACAAAATCTCCATTCTATTCAATTGCTAGACATCCACTGAGTGAGAAGGAATCAAAAGCAAGCTCTCTCCCTCCCTGAATCGCACTGTAAGTCTCCTGAAAAACGCCCATGTACTCGAAAACACATCCTCTTATTCTTGCACTTTTTTGCCAAGATCTTTGCATATTCATGTTTGTCGTTCGATTTAGAAGCTTTTGGCATTATTGAATTGCATTTTTATAGCCTGAAACGCCATACCCGAACCTAGGGTTTTGGAAGTTTGTTTTTGGGTGTTTTCTTTGCAGGGAAAATTGGAACATATAATGGACATAGGCATGTTCAGGAGGAAGACGAGCATGACTGTGGTCGTGGCTTGAGTTTTCATGGCCTAGAACATTTTTTAGGATGAACCCATGGATTTAGCTGCGGATAAAAATCCGCAGGTAAATAACCAGGGTTGGGCGAAGAAGATGATTACGTGCCCCCTCCCCATTCGTTGGTTCAAATATTTCGCGCTTATTTTTTTATTTCAGGCATAATAGTTGTTTTCCCATATTATAATTCATACCTAATCCACTAACAAATAGAGTGCAGTGGTCCAGTGGCAAGCGTGTTGTACAAAATCCAATGGGACCTGGGTTCGAATCCCAGGTCCCCCATATATTTGCTATTATTTTCTTTCAGGCGTTCCAGCGTGCCTCATGCCTTGCAACGCACCATACACCCTCATGCAATCAACTGCCAGATGGCCCCAGGCTGCCAGATGGCCCCAGGCCAGATCTGGTGGCCAGGAATGAAAGACCATCATGCTCTCAAGTCAACGCACGCGTGGAGGATCCAAAAGTCCATACAGGCTTGCACGTTTGGGCCTCAAACTTGCTCTTTCACTCCCAATTTGGGCCTGAACCCCCCCCCCCCCCCCCTGAGTATTTCTTTTTTTTATTTTCTTTCTTTATTTTGTTTAATTATTATGTTTATTGTTTAAATCACTAACCAATTAAATTTCCTTTTTTCCTCATAAAATAAAAAAAAAACAAAAAATATATTTTATTTATTAAAATTAAATTCATCATTTTATTTTTGTAAATAAATATTAAATTAATTAATTTAGTTTTTAATTAGGTATAACTTTTAACATTTTTGCAATAATTAAAATTAATATAGAATATTAGGTTTTATTAACTTTGACCAAATTTATTTTATTTCTTTAAATATCCAAAAATCCAAAAAAATATCTTTTTAATTAATTAATTAATTTATTTTTTTAATTGTTAACTTAACTTAATTCCTTTTTAATTCAAAAATAACAAAAAATCATTTTCTTTCAAAAGGGTCAAAACCCTAAAAAATTCGCATTCGATTTAATTTTTCGCACGCGATCTATTTTTCCATATTGATGTATATTTTTCCCGGAATGTAATAGCTTAAATAGGACTTTATTTTATCGCTTTATTTTATTTTCCGCATTTTTAATTTCAAGGGTTGTCTTTGGCGATGTAAATACCCGACGCCTTGTAATAGTTTAGATTTAATTTCCGCAACTTATAAACTGTTAGATGTTTGATAATAGGGAATGCATGACAAAATCGAATGTATGAACTTAAAATCAACATAGCTCACTCATGACATGTACAAAGATAAAATAACTGAAAACAACACACTCGCACATGCGCACTCTTAGGGTACACCTCACTTGGTTGCCTTCGAACGTGGTCATTGAGTATAGGAAGTTTTAGAGGTCGCCCTCTTGTCCAAAGATCATAGTCGCCTCGAAACGGTTGCCTCGGAAAAATGATATAAGACACTAGGGTTACCGCTAAGGCGTCCTAACATTGCTTTAGTGACCACATGTCCCTTAATCGAATTGACCCTTTAAACTCCAACGATGGTGCTGCCCACTCATCAATAGTGGGATAGCATTGTATAAAGGACATTAGCATAGAACGATTCCTTTTTCGAGTAGGTAGATGGTTCTTAAGTACTTGCTCCTTTTAAAATAAAACAAAACTTTTCGCACTTACACCTTTCAAACAAAAACCTCTTTCAAACCCACAAACACAAAGAAAAGAAAATTTTGAAAACACTTTGAGCAAGTACCTAAGAGCCCGTGGATAACCACAGATAGAAAGGGTGCTAACTCCTTCCCTTTCTATAATCTACCCCCCAGACCCGAGAAACATCTCGAAAAAGGAATTTTTCTGTGCTTTTTTCCTTTCCTTGTTGGATAAAATAAAAGACGGTGGCGACTCTTGCTTACCACGACATTTTTGCGAAAACAAACGCAAAACACGAACCAGCATTCCAAAAACAGTCAGTTCTCTCCCACCGTATCACAGAAGCGAACAACGATGATCTATATGTTACATACCACCAGGATTGTGCTTTGAGGCATTCCTTCCTATTCTTGGTTAGCACTCTATGTTTGTGGACAAAAATGCAACCTACATAGATGTAGTATACCTTAAGTATTTCATCAACTTAGAGACCATTCATGAGTGGAACCGGGGCAACGCATGCTTGGTATACCTGTACGCCAAGCTGGGCGAATGTTCTCTTTGGACGACAAAGCAAATAACAGCTTCCTGCACCATGCTGACGACAACTTCTATAGGCACTATTAATTTAAAAACGAATTTTTTTACAGTTGTTACTAATGTATTTTTTCTTATTCATTTTTCAGAGTTGAATCCTATCCCACTTTCATCACATACACGAGTTTGAATGTATGATAAGATATACTAAATATTACTCATGTGTTTTCATGTATTATCCGTGTGGAGGGAATGGCATTGTTCGACCATTATATGTGTATATTGACATGATTCACCATGATGACATCGACTGGACACCATATGCCACTCACCGGGACATTATTCACTTTGACTCCATTTTATATTACTCTGGATGGCTGGCATGTGGGAGTAATTTGATGTACATCTTCCAGAGCGATGCATATGTCAGTTTGGATTTATGCAGATCATTCCGAGATCCCCTTGGTGGTTGCTCCTATCAACATCCTTCATAGACATATTGATGACATACTGTCGG